TTTCGCAATCGTGTCAGATACACACGTTCAGTTAATGTCAGAAGGAAATTTGGAAAATCATTGGTTATACGGTCATCGAGAAACTTTGAAATATTCGATATAATCTCTTTTTGATTTTTTTATTTATTTATTTTGTTTTTTTTAACTTGTTATCTTCATAACAACGAGGATGTTAATCTCGCAATTATTGTGAAAACGATGTCGAATATAAAATATCTGATAAAAAATATTATCGTTTTATTACTTTTAATCCAATAATTGGACCGTTTATTTTGAAAATTGTGTAAGGCGATTTTCTGTTGTTTTGAGAAAATTAAAGGTTTGCATATTGGTTAATTTAAAAATATTCATTAATTATATCAAGTTTGACAATGTTTCTATTAATTTATCGATATGTAATTTGATTATATACATTAATTTTATATATAGGCTAATTTAATTAAAATAATGTATATTTACAGGCTGCAATTGGACTTATACCATTTTCATAATCAATGGTTACGCAATTTTTTTTATCGGCCAATTTTAAATTGGATAAAGCATTGACATTTTTTAAAAAATTAAATACTAACTAGTTATAAATAGAAAGTTTACACTAAATTAATTAAAAATTACATGATATCTCATTTTCTTTTTTTTTTAAAATGGACTTACACCATTTTCAGAATAAACGGTCCATTAATATTTTTTTATTATGACAAAGCAACGAGTATAAAGCGACAAGATTTAATTATAAAATATATAATTACTAGCTCGCACAATATCACTGAATTGAATGTAAACATCAAGTAAAACGGGTATTATAGATTTACTAACGAATTTCATACGAGTATATCCTAAACGCGGCGGAGAATATAAAAGCGTTGGCACGTCGAGCGGTATAATTCAACGATTAATCCTCCATCTCGATATTTTCATAAATATCGATCGCAGAATCCTCAATGAAGGTTGGATGTTGTGCCTTTTTGTTCCGTTTAAATTGAATCCTTTACCTTTTGTAATATAAATTGTTATATGCATGTTAAATACAATCAAACCCTTTTATCGTTTCGAAATTTCTATTATACATACATATATAAAGAAAATAACGGTTACCGTAAAAAAAATATAATAATATATTAAATATTTTTAAAGTTAGAGGGAATAGTACTTAATGTCTAATGAAAATTAAATCTTTTATCTGCTTTATACGTAATATTAATAAAAAGTAAGATAATAAAATTTAATAATAAGATAATTAATATATTCTAAAAATTTATATT